ACTTTAAATTATTACAGATTATGGTTAATACCATAATCTGTAATAAGGCTAAGTGACTACATTATAGTTTGTGAGTTTAGCAATGCAAATGCTTTTGTTTTGGCACAATACATAGTGTCTATATTGGAGTATCATAGGCAAACTTATTGATCTTTTCAAGATATTAATATGTGTAATGAAAAAAATACCAGGAAGTGGAGATTCTTTTATTTCTCAATCATTCTCGTACAACAATTTATTTGTTAATATAGTGTCCTAAAATTTAAGTCATTGCGATAATGTATTTATTAAACAATGTATAAAACATTACCGAATGGTTGTGATACAATGATACGTCTCCGCCTTAAGAACATAATGGTAAACCATATTAAACTTACGAATCAATGGGACATGCCTACTGTCGTTTCGTGGCACCATCTGTACGCAGGTGTTTGTAACTGCTAAATGAGGAACCTATCGAATGACACAGAGTTAATCACTGAAATGAAATTTTGTGTGCAGGGAGGGAGGAGATTTTGTGCGGGATGACCTCAGTCAGGTTGTTTGGAACCGGTGAAGGAAAACACACGATAAAAAGCCTTTATATAGAATGCAGTGAGTGGCAACAAAATGAATTATGAAACACATGTAACAGTGTCAGTCTTTTTTTTTTGATAGGCATTACGTATCTTCCATAAAAAAGACTCCTAGGGATGCTACTTGATGCCGTTGAAAGGCAATTGATCTAGGAAACTTCAGATGTTTTGTTACCTTGGGTCAAATCTGATTACCTCCTATCCCCCAAAGTTGCCTGTTCGACCCTTCGTTTCTGAAACTGGATTTGAGAAGTCCGCAGATTTTTATGGAGTTCTAATTAGCGAGGAATCTTGTGTAACAGTCACCGCTATGTGTGTTTCACTCTCCTGGCCACAGACAGCTCTGGTGACCTGGGCAACAAGTCCACAAGTGGGTACAGAGCAACATAATGCAGAACAAGACTTTATTTTAGATAAAGTTTCGCTTAAGACTGAGGTTTATCAAGTCTTATGGAGTTTAACAGAATCCATTAAAAAAAATAACACCTATTAAACTTCATTAACACCGTCACGAGAGAAACTTCTAAAGTAATGGATAACTCTTGGGTAGATAAAGGTATAAGATATTTGTTTTTATGTTTCTCATGGGTTTTATCGAGTCGAAAAAATTCATGAAAGCCTCTTTGTGGGCGAAATGTTAACAGTAAAGCTTACACGTAACTGACTGTTTGTGTGTTTTTCTTGACGACTTGCTCAGCATTCGGTGTTTTGACACCATACACAGCTTTATCGAAGCTGATAAACACAACAGCGGAACACAAAGGAAATAATCCTTAATCTCTTTTTTTTTTTTTTTGCTAGTCAAATAATAACACTTTATTGAATGATACGAAATGAAACATGTGGTAAAAAATATATGGAGATATTTCTGTTTTTCTTAATTTAAATAAAAGAAAAAAACGACAGAGCATATGAAAATTGCCAACCATTGACGAAAGTTCAAATGGATTTTTCTGAGTTGGATGCGGGACGGGGGATGAAGGATGGAGGATGAGGAACGGGGAAGGACGGATGGGAAAGAAGGGATGGGAGATGACGGACAGGAGATGAGGGACGGAGGGTTAGGGACAGAGATGACGAGGAACAGGGAGATGAGGGACAAGGGGATAAGGATGAAGGACGGAGGATAGGATAAGAGATGAAAGACCAAGGACGAAATACGATGGACGGACATGGGACTGGGGGATAAGAAAGGAGGATGAGGACGGGAGACGGAGGATGGAGGACTGGAGACGGAGGATGCAGGATGGAGGACGGGAGACGGGGGATGCAGGATGGAGGGCGGGAGACGGAGGATGCAGAATGGAGGACAGGAGACGGAGGATGCAGGGTGGAGGGCGGGAGACGAAAGATGCAGGATGGAGGACGGGAGACGGAGGATGGAGGATGGAGGACAGGAGACGGAGGATGCAGGATGGAGGACGGGAGACGGAGGATGGAGGATGGAGGATGGAGAATGGAGGAAGGGAAGAGAAAGGTACTTTTTTAACATTACATTAAAAGGTAGAAACACCTCAAAATGGATTATAATTATTTTTATTATTCATAGGGAAGAGATAAACTCGTAAGGGTCAAACAGTGTATGTTATTATCAAAAGATAAACGTCATTAAAGTCAGCAGCTGCCACTCTACTCAGCGGTCATTAAAGTCAGCAGCTGCCACTCTACTCAGCGGTCATTAAAGTCAGCAGCTGCCACTCAACTCAGCGGTCATTAAAGTCGGCAACTGCCACTCTACTCAGCGGTCATAAAGGTCAGCAGCTGCCACTCTACTCATCTGCCATTAAGGTCAGCAGCTACCACTCTACTCAGCGGCCATTAAGGTCAGCAGCTACCACTCTACTCAGCGGTCATTAAGGTCAGCAGCTGCCACTCTGCTCAACGGCCATTAAAGCTGCCACTCTACTCAGAGGCCATTAAATTCAGCAGCTGCCCGAAGCAGCGCTCTCCGCACACTTGATTACTGCTTTGTAAGTTAATCGATAAATTTAAGTAAACCTGTTTCTCTCTCTGTCTCTGTCTGTCTGTCTGTCTGTCTGTCTGTCTGTCTGTCTGTCTCTCTCTCTCTGTCTCTCTCTGTCTGTCTCTGTCTGTCTCTCTCTCTCTCTCTCTCTCTCTCTCTCTCTCTCTCTCTCTCTCTCTCTCTCTCTCTCTCTCTCTCTCTCTCTCTCTCTCTCTTTCTCTCTCTCTCACACACACAGATGACTGCGAAAGAGCGTACTTAGACCTAGTTTCAGCTCTCAGGTTTATCTTTGTAATTACTATTCAGACTTTCAGTCTTACTTGATTAAAAATCTTATTCCACAGAAATTTTGATTTGGGATGAGGGGGAAGGGGAAAATTAAAGGTGGAGGAGGAAGAGGCTGCTTAATTAGAGGCGGGGAGAAAGAGAAGAGGGTAATGTGTGAGGAGAAGGTGGAGAAGGATGAAGCTGTGGAAGAATAGGAAGGAGAGGAGGAAGAGGTGTAGGAGGTAGTGACTAGGATGCAACCAGTGTGACAGGTACTCAGGGTTTGGCTCAGAAATGACATGTATATGACTAACAGGTGACCTGAAAGCAATAAGGTCACATACATATATACCAGCCAGGTATAAAGGTGTCTCATAAGTGAACTGGTGAAGACCTGGATGTAAGCTGTATATAACCTAGAGGACCCCTTCTCAAAGCAAGACGAGGACCTGGGGGAATAACCTAGAATTGACCTATACGTGACCTGGAAGCAGCCAGGAAACGACCTGTAGACAATAAAAAATTAGTCAGTGGAAATGACCAGAAGACCTGGAAATAACCCAGTCTTGGAGAGATGCAAGTTGTCATGCCTTGATACTGGTAAAAAAAAATCTTAATTCATGGAATTAGAGGCACTTCCATCTTACCGATCAAATCTGATTGTCCTCCCCCCATCCCATTCCCTTTCCTGCTGTATGACCCCATGGGTTTAGCGCTTCTCCATAAACATAAAAAAAATGGAGAAAATTGGCGAGAATTTGCAGTTGCGTTTCATGTGACCTGAAGGTGGCCTTGAGCGGGTGTGCAGGCATCCAGACGATGCGCCGGTGAAGACGGAAGAGACGAAGTCACGGGGAAGCCGGAGCGGTGAAGATCTTTACTAACCAGTCATCATCTCCATGAACTCTGTGGAAATGGAAGACCTTGTGATGCAGCGTATGGCAAGGTATATAAGGTCAAATAACGTTAGTAATTGCATAATAAATACGAAATATATTAATATTACGCTAATATAGATAGAGAGGGAGACAGATTATAATTACAAGTTTAGAATGATTCAAACACAAGACCATGAATTCACTCAGCTGTCAACTTACTGGTTCATTCTCCACTGTACAAAGACATTCCTGATGTGAATCATTATTGCGGAGACGTTTCGCCAGCCAGTGGCTTCTTCAGTCCAGTACAGAAAAGAACGGTGGAAGATGAGGAGGAGCTTGAGGTAATCAGTCCCTCAGCTTGGAGTCGATGTGCTTGGTTCTATAGGCATGACCTATAGGCCTAAACTATAGGCATGACCTACTTACACTAGTGGATTTTTCACTGGTGACTCCGCCTCCTGCTCCTTCCACTCACCTCTCTGCTGTATATAAATCACTTCTCCACGTATATGCTGTAATTTTCTCAAGATTGATGGATTGAACACATAGACTCCAGGTTCAGGGACTAATTACCGGAAAGTCCTCATCTTCCACCGTTCTTCTCCGTATTGGACTGAAGAAGCCACTGGCTGACGAAACGTTTCCCCAGTGAGGATTCAAGTAGACATGTCTGATAACATGCATTATTGATGACATGGATCTGCAGCCCCATCACTGGATATTACAGAAAAGGTTGGAAAGTCCTTTCACAGACTGAAAGTTTTGTAACTCTTCACCATCACGAGTCTCCCAAATAAAAACCCCTAACAATCACAAGTACCCCGGATCATACACACTCATCATCGAAGTCACAAGTACCCCGGATCATACACACTCACCATCGAAGTCGACAGTACCAGATCCATCTTCATCAATCTCTTCAATAATACCATTCAGATCCTCTTCCGAGAGTTTGTTGTCGAGCTCCTTGAGGATCTCCTTCAGCGTACTGGTGGTGATATAACCATTACCTGAGAGCAGTGGAGCAGGTTGTAAGAACAAGCGCACACATGCCTTCGTATATCGAGTCTGAACGTAAAATTATGTAATTTGTATCTCTGAGCATTACGTTACACAACTCCTCCTATTTCATTGGCTCATACTTGATTACCTTCCATTTCATAGGCTTGAAAATCGAAGGTCATATTGCCGAATAAGCAGAGGAGAAATTTGTGAATTCAACAAATCGAAAATCAGTGTGAACATAAAAAAATGTATCTTTTATACGATGTAAATTAATACTACATAAACCTAAAAATTTCTAAAACAGGTTTAGTATAATGAGGCTAAAACAAAAAAAAAAGTTTATTATAGCAAAGTTAGATGAGGATTCCTATTTTTGGAGCAAAATTGCAAACTTTCCACCATGATGAAAAAATACTTATAAACGCAAAGATCTTCCTGGAACAGATATATTATTAGGGCAGTTGTGCCTAATTGACCAGTTTGTCTTATTAGGGGTGGGTCTGGGGGGTGAGTGAGCGCGCGGGCGCGTGTGTGTGTCTGTGTACTCGCCTAGTTATGGTTGCAGGGGTCGATTCACAGCTCCTGGCCCCCGCCTCTTCACTGGTCGCTACTTGTTTGAATACCTGCCTCAACCAGCAGTCTATATAGACTGCTTGTTGAGATAGGTATTTAAACAGGAGGAGACTGAATTTAATCCTTGAGCATACCTCCGGTATTCGTTTATATATATATATAATATATATATATATATATATATATATATATATATATATATATATATATATATAATATATATATATATATATATATATATATATATATATGTCGTACCAAATAGGTAAAACTTGTGATTTTTGCTTAAATACCAACGCTCTTCTTGCCGAATAAGGCAATCGAAAACTTGTGCATGCCATATTTTAACAAAAAAATCGTTCTGAACCTAACGAAAAGAAATATATTTAATTGTGTTTGTTTATTATTAAATTATTGTAAACTTATCTAAAATATATTTAGTTGAATTAGGCTAAATTAAATTCCTTTTGTTATAATAAGGTTAGGTAAGTTTTCTAAGGTGCTTTTGGTACAAAATTATTAATTTTTACATTAACATAAATAAAAAATATATTTTTTTAAACGTATAAGAGAAAATTTTAGAAAGGACTTAAATTTTGTTTAACTTGCAGCTTAGTTTTTAAAATAATTTTAAGACCAGAAATGAACAATAATCATAATGCGATGTCATAAATTATTTCGTCCTTGTAAAACTAACTCGAAAAAATAGGATATCTCGTGAGAGTTTTTCTTAATAATGGAGAACACCATAAAATTCGGAAAAAGATGTTATTTTTTATTACAATTTTTTTTTATATCACATCTTTTTTCTCTCTCTTTGAGATTCTCAAAGATAAATTTTCCCATAAAGGTTTTTCAAAATAAATTTACTCTTTAACCCTTAAACGTTTTAATGAGAATCATCCACTTAACAGTCGAAGTTTTCTACTCCGTCACTTATTCAAAATGTCGAGGAAATTCTTCGCTCATGTACTTAACAAGTCTTCAAAATCTTCCCCTCAAGCACCTAGGTAGCCTATGAAGCCATCCACTCAAGAATCGCTTGAACTCTTTAGGATATCATTTAGTCAAGCATCCACTTAGATATCTGGTCAAAGTATCCTCTTCAGAGCCCACTTAATATGTAGCTTTTATACACTCAAGCACCCACTTAATCTGTCTACAAAACTCCCCCCCCCTCTGTTTCAAGGAACCACTTAGCCTATCTTTGACATCCTCCACTCAAGGAACTTTTTAAACCTTTTTGGGAAAGCTCTACACTCAATGAAATACTAATGCTAATGCTAATGCTAATACTAATACTAATGCTAATGCTAATACTAATACTAATGCTGCCTGAGAAACTTTCCTGTTATTAAAACTACGTTACTACTCCACTTAATCCCACTCATCCACTCTTGTGAGTTTTTTCATGCAATATCCACACCTCTCTTGTCACCTGAACCTGTCACCAACTCACCCTTACCACTAGATACCACCAACCTACAATCCCACCTACCTTAAACTTACCATTATCTGCCTTATATCTATCCTTGTCGTCTACCATCTCTTACCAACTGTTAGTACCTGCCACTTCGCAAGACTCACCTTCCCTGTCGTACAGCCTGAAGGCCTCCTTGAGTTCCCCGTACATGGCCTCATCGTCGTCATCGTCGTCAATCATATAATTGCTGAGGATGTTGACGAAGTTGTCGAAGTTGACCTTGCCTAGCTCTGGTGGGACCAAGAGAACACCACATGTTTATCAGACATGTAAGGGAAAAACAATACATAAATAATGAATAATTCAGTGATATTGAGTTACTGAGTGAGGCTTTTGCTTGTAAGGATAAACATACACACACACACACACACACACACACACACACACACACACACACACACACACACACACACACACACACACACACACACACACACACACACACACACACACACACACACACACACACATATATTATATATATATATATATATAATATATATATATATATATATATATATATATATATATTATTTCTCAATCCAAAGCAGGATTCGAACCTGCACACCCTAGGTCAAAGTACACAGTACTTTCGCCACTTACCCACATATTGTTTTAATCATGTAGAAAGGGACAAGGGTCGGACAGTGCCCAGGGAATAGGACGGATTGAAGTTCCTGCCAAGGAAGGGCAGAATGAGGCCACTTCTTTGGACTAAGAGACCCTTCACCGGCATCAAAACACCTCCTTTCA